TAGTTTTTTAATTACTCTGGTGGATACATAATTAACTTTTGTACCCACTACACTTATTTATGCGAAGAAACCCTTTGAAACGGAACATTCCTAATGAAACACCCTGCAGATTTAGCCAAATTAACCTTTTGACAACTGAGCTACTCGTTGTTAGGGGTGGAAATCGGTACGGTATCGGTATCCCAATACCAAATACTGAAATCCCGAATACCGAATTACACCCTAAATTTCGATATCCCAATCCCTAAATATTTCGATATACCAATCGGTAACTCAGTATCCCAATCGGTATTATCAAATACAAAATTAATTATCTTTGTAATTAATGATTAAAAATACAAAATTAATTATCTTTGTAGTTAATGATTAAATATATAAATCAGATTTTATTGTTTAATTTAGGGCACAGAGACTAAGCAAAGAGTATTGAGTTGCCTAGAGCTAATATCTCAAGTTCTTATAATTTGTAATCTTCAATTTAACGAATTTGAGGTTGACAGACGACTAATACTAGTGTGAAATAGTGATGGAATGATCTATGTATAATTAAATGACACTCTTGGTAATTGAGGGTCGCCTAGTAGTTGAATGAGGGAGTCTAGTTCAAAGGATAAATTACGCACTAGCTTATATTTCGGTATTTCGGTATATCCCGATCCCAATCTCGTAATCCCTAATACCGAATAACAATTGAAATTCAATCACAATCCCAATCCCACAAAATAATACGTGTGTTCGATAATACCAAATATAGACAAATTCGATACGGTATTCGGTATATCCCAAATACCGGTACCAAACTTCCAGCCCTACTCATAGTGCTTCAAAATTCTCATTAGGTTAGCATATTGAGATCGTGGAGCCCGCAAGGAAAGGTATGAGTCATCCATAAAGAACATATATGAGATTACAAGGCAGCGAGGGCTAATAAGAAGACGAGTAAAGACTCGAGTCAAAAATTCATGCTGGAGCAAAGCAACAAAGCCCTTGGGGCTAATGGAAAACAGAAGAGGGACAAGGAATTTCCCTAACCAAGCCCATTCGTTGCCTAAATGTACCCATATGGCTTCCCCTTCATTAGAACAGAGAAAGTCAGAGGTCAAACAACCTGTAACCATATAATCCATTACTCACTGAAATCAAGTTTCTCAACACAGCTTTTCGCAGAGCTTCTGCTTTTATGTTATACAAAAGTATTTTTCGGCTTTTTAAAAGTCGAAATTTTAAAGGTGTTTTGTCGTGCTTCAGCTTTTAAAGTCGAAAAGGGGAGCGAATCCGGTCAGTAATCCATAGGTCAGTAACTATGCATAATCCAATCACCATCTGCCACATCAGCGCTTCTTCTCTCTCTTGTAAAGTCTTTAATTTTTTTCTCCTTAATCTTTAACAAGCAATTTCTCACTCGTTTTAAGTTGGAATTTAATTTTTTTTGCACAATTAGATCAGATTAATTATGCTCTTCAGAATGATATCCACTTTGATATATTTTTGGAACAAATTTGAGTCATTTTTTATCAGTCTATACCATATGGTCTTGTCTGAAATTGAAATAAGAACATATCATATGGTATAAAGCATACCATGGTGGTATGAACATACTAAGACTGTAGGATGGTTAAATACATGATAGTATGAGTGTCATTTACGACTTTCAAATTGTGTACCACAAGATAACACCCCGTATCAGGGTGTGTGGTATTTTTTTGGTCATGTATGTTGTTCACCCAGAAATTTGTAGATCCAATAGATCATGATGATCTCGTTCCTTCTGTGCAATTTTTTTTAAAACGATTTAAAAACGAAGAAGATACCATATTGTATGCAGTTGGTAACGAGAGGCATGGATTTTTTTTCCTCAAAGAATATTGAAAATTGATCTAATTTTGTTGAACACAACGAACTCATTCCATCTCGGCAAAAGAAAATTGAAATCTGAGTTTTAAAAAGAAAAAGATATAAGCTGATTAAGAAAAATAAAGGGGAAAATTATCTATAATTTCCACATTTAGATCTGAATTTTCTGGGCCCACTTAAAAGAAAGAGTCCAGATTTAGTTAATAATTGGTGCATAACCATGAGTTATGCACTGTATTCGGAACCGTCGAAAAACACTTATAAAAGTCGGGCCAAATATAGACAATGACGTGACCTAATGTATAGGCAACAATTTACATAACATAAAAACGCTTCTTGATGAAAAAATTTAAGAAAATGCTTTACTATGTAGCGTTAATAAGTTAATATATAAATAAAAGCTTTTACCTAATACGTTACAGTGCTATAACGCACGATTTTCTCTTGAAATTCTCTGTGGGCACACGTCTTGCATAAGACGCTTTGGCTAGTGGCGCTTTGACACCAAAAAACTCTCACTGACAGCGATTTTGCCCAGAATGATGATGAGATAAAGTATGTTATCGCTATATATGAACAATTTGGGTCTGATGAGCCAAGTTCTTGCTTGACTGACGACTGACGAGGGAGTCCATTTGGAAGTACTCTTAATTAACAGCTTTTAGATAATCTACAGATTGATGGTTCAATTCACACTTGTCACCTAGACGGCAATATTTGGACCAAATGAATTAGTTTCAAGAAACATTAATCTATTTCTATATCCTAATTAAATTAACAAATTCGAAAAATTAATGCTCAACTTAAAATGATCCACGACATTGAATGAAGACTCCTAGAACTAGCAGAGGGGGAAAATAACGTGCGGACGGGTTGGAGAACTTAAGCCCAGATTGCTAGTAGGGACATAAATCCAGCGCCTAAAAGAAGAGCAATCTGAACTCCAATCTGAAGTCGTCCACTGGCTTGTACTTTTGGGTTCATGAAGTCGGCTGCCAACAGATCCACGAGCGCCATGTATATCAAGGTAAGATAAGATTCCTGAAGACTTCAGATTGTACCTTTATTTTACAATATGAAATTGTATATTTAACGTTATGGTACAACTTCAGATTGTACCTATACATTTTGTACAAATTCTTTTATGGTACAACTTGAACTTGAACTTGAACTTTTATTTGATGGTACAACTTCAAGTTGTAAAGTTGTACCATAACATAATGATACAAATTCCTTTATGGTACAACCTAACCTTATACATTTAATGTTATGGTACAACTTTAAGTTGTACATTAAAAGACCGATGCTATATAGCATAGTAGAAGTGCTCTATAGATCGTATACGTGAACTATCATTAATTTACCTAATCAATGCAAAACAAAGAATTTAGGATAGCATATCGTTAATTGTGGGCTTATACAAACCATTATCATAGTCTATAGCATCAATAATCATAGAATCAACCATTGATCTTATATAAACATGCATACAAGCATACAAAAGGCAATGTGATATCACTATATAATAATTTCTTGACCACTAAAATGATATTAAAGCACAATACTATAGTAGCATCTTAACAGGGTCACACGCATTGAATGTTAAATCATCATATGAAATAAAGAATCAATGATCATACACAAGAGATGATTAAAGCATCGCGAATACAATAAAACATCTAAAGGCATAGGCATCGATGATCATCATAGAATTTAAATCCCTAACAGATTGTCTAACAACACAAAGAAGAGTGGAACAACATCACCATAGATACTATATATATCGATGGTGAATGCTTCTCCTGTAAATCTTATCAACAATTTCCCTCATTTTTATGGATTTCTACTCGTGCCTAGTGAGGCAGAGTGTTGGTAAAAGGTGTGTCTTAAAGTCTAGGCATGTGTCTCTTTTTATACTAGTTAGTCGGCCAAATCCTTCTCTATCCGACTTGAACTCGATTTCCTTCGACTTGTCGACGAAGTAGCTTCTTCATGAAGTTTCCTTGAGGAATTAGGGCTAGCAGTGGCTTTTCCACTTGGATTGGGTTTCCTTTGTCCCAAGTAACTCCTCCAATTTGTAGAATGGCGGTTAGTAGGAAAATCTCTCGTGTGTCTTGGGCCAAGTCCGGTCTGTTGCACTACCTGATCTGCTTGTTTTGGTCATAAAGTGAGCATCCGATGTTCAAATTCATCTCTATTTGAGCCTATGAGTTTACATTCGTGTCCTTCTTCTGATTCATTCGGTACCTTGGTAATCCAAATTCCTTTTGAGTGTTTTATATAACTGAAAAGCACAAAACAACACAATAAAGACATCAAATAGTACATATGCACACTCAAGGTCTATCATAATCACATTAACTCAAGACTCAGGGGCGGATTTATGGATGTCTAGGGGTGTCCCGGGACACCCCTAAAATTTGGGGAAAAAATTATCGAACCCCCGGTAGTAGAATTTGTATGGCAAAAAAAAAAAAATACACATGTAATTGGTGGGATTCGAACTCAGGACACTGCAATTGTTAGTGTTAATGTTGTCCGCTGGGCTACATCCGACTTCTTGTCATTATTTCGAAACATATTTATTAATCAAAAATTAAATTGGCCAGACAGTTAAAAATTAATTAACTATATCGGGACACCCCTACATCAGCCGAGACCAAAGAAATCCCTTTTGATTTCCGACTTTTCACCGCCCTCGCACAGCCGCACTCCCGAAACCAGCTCCCAGAGGCCAGCGCCACTCGAGCATCTGCTCGGCTGCTCCTCCAAGGCTCCATCAGGCAACGGCGACGGCAGACCAGTTGTTTGCCGACGAATCTCCAACTCCGACCTCCTCTTTCGAATCCAACCTCCTCTCCTTCGACTCCGCAGCAGCCACTGTTCGCATAACACAGATAGGTTTCCAAGTTTTCTTGTTTCATAATTTCAATTGTTGTCTGTGAATTTCAATTGGGTGGGGTCCTGTTCTTATTTGGTAGTAATATGTTGCATTCTTCGTTGCCTACTTGACTTTGTTCTTGTTTGGGTGAGAGCCGAGAGGAGGAGAAGTTTGGATGCTGCGGCAGGGTGTTTTGTTTCAGAAATATGCTCTTTATTCATTCCTTAGTTGTTTTTATTGTTGTCTCTGAATTAGGTACAAACAAATGGAAAGATATTACACAAGAAAGGTCCTTAGTAGTCCAAATGTTCAAACTGAAGGTGTTGAAGCTAGTGGAAGTAGACAAGCTCAAACCTTTCCTCCCTCACAGGTAGTGGGAGCTACTCAAAGACAAGAACCAAATCTTTCAAGTTCAGTGAATCACTCTCCAGAGAAAAGTGAGTCTTCTTCAGCAAAGTCGGATAGGGAGTTTGATGTAAACTCTTTGCCACTAGACCCGGGATTAAGAGCTAAAGTATCTAGTTTTCATCCCAATATCCGTGATGAGGTTAGAAGATATTATCTTCAAAAGGGTCCTATTCAACCAAAGGGTCATGATTTTCCCTACAGAAATTTCAGTGGAAAGAAGCGTAGATTCCGAGAGTCTTGGTTTAAAAAGCATAATTGGCTTGAGTACAGTGTTTCAAAAGATGCTGCTTATTGTCTATACTGCTATGTGTTCAGCAAGAGAGGTGGAAGTGATGATGGCTTTATTGGTGAAGGTTTTAAAACATGGAATAAATTGAAAGCTTTTGCTGATCATGTTGGTGCACATAACAGTTACCACAATAGAGCTAAAAACAGTTCTGATCTTTTATTGAAGCAAGCAACATGCATTGAAGTTGCATTATGCAGACAAACAGATCAAGCCAAAAGAGACTATCGAATTCGTTTGGTTGCTTCACTTAATTGCATAAGGTGGCTAGTAGTTAGTGGATTGTCATTTCGAGGGCATAAAGAATCTGCAACTTCAACGAACAGAGGTAACTTTCTTCAGCTATTAGATTTTCATGCTCTTGATAGAGAAGATGTGCAAAGAGTGGTTGGGAAGAATGCTCCAAAAAACCTTCAGCTTACCTCTCCAATGATTCAAAGAGATCTTGTTCATGCCATGGCTTGTGAAACTACTAAGAGAATTATTGCAGATATTGGTAATGATTTTTTCTGTATATTGGTTGATGAGACACGTGATATATCAATGAAAGAACAAATGGCTATTGTTCTAAGGTATGTGAATTCTGATGGTGTTGTTATGGAAAGATTTTTGTGTACTTCTCATGTGCCAAACACTAAAGCTTTGACATTGAAGAAGGAAATTGAAGCAATGCTTTTGAAACATGGATTGAGTATGTCTATGATTAGGGGACAAGGCTATGATGGAGCTAGCAACATGAAGGTCAAGGCGCAATGCTCCACAGATCACAAACCTACATCATTATCAGGTGGAATTGTTTTACTCGGTTCTTGATATGCAGTTGCAAGAGTTGAACAACCGCTTTGATGAGGTGAACACTACATTGTTGAATTGTATGGTTTGTCTTAGCCCAGAGAATGAGTTTGCTGCTTTTGACAAGGAGAAACTGGTAAGGCTTACTCGATTTTATCCTAAAGAGTTTGGTCACCTATCTGACTCTTTTCTTCTACGGGACTTTGAGAATTACTATCATTGCGTTAAGAATGATGAGTTATTCCATGGGTTAAAAGGAATTGATGAATTATCTCAAATGATGGTAAAAACAAAGGTGAATCTTTCATATCCATGGATCTATTTGCTTCTCAAGGTTGTATTGATTCTACCAGTTGTAACAGCAAGTGTTGAAAGAGCTTTTTCAGCTTTGGTTTACATCAAGAACAAGCTTCGAAATCGAATGGGAGATCAGTTCGTGAATGATTGTCTTGTAGGGTATATTGAAAGGGATTTGTTATGCAATGTAGACACAGAGTGTATTTTGCAATTTTTCCAGAATATGAAAACTCGTCGTGGACAATTGTTGTAACTTGTACTTATCGGTATTTTTTTCTGTTGAATACTAATCGGATAATTTCTTATTTAAGAATTATTTAAATTTTAATTATTTAAGTTTTAATTTTTTTTTAGAGGACACCCCTATTTAAAATTCCTGGATCCGCCACTAACTCAAGTAGTTATGAATTTCATATAAAATGTAATCAAAACTATACTAAATATACATTGATAGACGGGAAAATGTATCAAGAATGAGAGTGATAAATACTATAAATTGAGTGTTATCTTTGACATTCCATATGAAATGGCAATCGATTCAAATGAGGATATGGAGATTCCTTAGCCACCGACGGTGATTCTTCTTCAATTGTTGCAATTCCCACCTACCACACATAGAAGGAAGGTAGAGAAGTGGGACATAGTTTGAGTAGAGACTCAAAGAGAGCTGGACTGTGAAGAGTTTTTATTTGGATACTAATCTTAATCAAAAGCTCTTGCTTTTATCCACTATCTATCTATCTTTTCTTTTTTTTTTCTTTTTTGTATTCATATGTCGAGTCTGCATACTTAATCAAGTAGTTAAAGTAGCTATTCTCCATAATTATTCAAAACTTGTATGACAAATAAGGTAACCCGTTTCAACCTTTTTCATTGCTCACGAATATTTAGTTCATTGAGGACAATGTCCATTTTAAAGTGTAGGGTGGAATTGTGTGTTAAGTGCAACTTCATTATGATTTTAGTTGCAATATATCTAGTAGTTCAATTTCGACATTTTTATCCAAGTTTAGTAGTTTTGTTGGGTTAATACCACTAGGAAACCCGAACTATAAAAAAATGCCACTTGTGTTCCAACCTATTAAATATTCCAAAAATGTTCCAACCTATGATAGTTGTGTCATTTATGTCCTAACGATTTTGTTGAGCGTTATAGATAACGGTTGACCAGACGGTGGTCAACTTGATCGTGACGTGGCAGCCGCGTAGATGTCAATTAAATAAAAAACACAATAGAGAAAATTGAAATTAAAAAAACAAAAAAACTCACTATTCTTCTCTACTGATTTGTCTATCTATTTCAAAAATTTCCCCATGTCGGAAAACCCTTCTGACGATCCGCACTTAGCACCCGAGCCCATGAAGAGATCCCTGAGGTCTGATTCTGCTTCCCTTCAATTGAACCATTGGAGGCCTACGGAAAATCACAATCTGGCGTCGATGGAACCACCTAGCTAATTCCCCGTCGAGTCCAAGCTTGAAAACCTCTAGCTCAACAATGACAGCGGTCGTTGAGGTAGAGGTGGCGGTCGCTGCGATATATGTGGCTCTACGGGAAACATCCTATTATTTTATCTTGCAATGCGAGAGTTTATAACGATTGTTGTATCTGCTCGAGATAAGTGAGAAAGTTTATAACTAGCCCTGGAGAATGCTAGGGTTTATGCTCGAAGAAAGGAAGAAGAGCAGATTGTGAGAATTCGACAAGATGCCTTTTCTCTGGTTTTCCATTTCATTATATAATAATGCTTTAGTATTCACTGTACATTAACGGTAACTACAAACTAAGAAATGAGAAGAACCAATGACAAATTCTTCCTTCCTCTGGCGAACCGACGAGAGAGAGAAGCATCGTCATTCTTGCTAACAAAGGAACAAGACTGAAGTGGGGAAAACCTAACACTTGAGTTTCTCATTAGCCATTCTGCCTCTTTATATGCAGAACAAAGAGGAAGAAGACAAGCTCGGTTACACTTTGTCTGAAAGCTTGGAATGGAAACAATACAATTCTTGGCAGAAAAGTAAACTAAGACAATAAACAAGGTAAAAACGATTGTGTCTTGAGACTCTCTTCACTTTGTGAAACGGCAGCGCAGAGAAGCGAAGAGGACCGTTGCGGAAGGAGCAAAACGTCGTCACTTTGGAGTCGACCGTTTGGAAATGGATTTCAATCTGTTACCCCCCCCCCCCCCCCCCCGGGCAAGCTGGTGGGCAGAGGTTTCGCACACCAAGCTTGGAGAGCAATGTGAGAAATGGTGCTGGGGAGAGAGGTTTGGTGAAGAGGTCTGCAAGCTGATGTGCTGAAGAGACATGTAGAAGCTTGAGGGAGCCCGATTGAAGTTTTTCTCTGACGAAGTGGCAGTCGAGTTCGATATGTTTGGTTCTTTCGTGGAAGGTAGGGTTCTTGGCAATGTGGATTGCACTTTGATTGTCACAATAAAGAGCAGCAGGGGTGGAAGAAGGCACCTGAAAATCAGCGAGAAGGAACTGGAGCCATTGGATTTCACACGCCGTGAAGGCAAGTGCACGATATTCCGCCTCACAGGAAGATCGAGAGACGGTATGTTGTTTTTTGCTTTTCCATGAAATGAGCGAGTCCCCCAGATATATGCAGAAGCCAGTTGTAGAACGTCGTGTATCAACACAAGCTGCCCAGTCTGAATCTGTAAAAGTTTTCAGTTGGAAGGAGCCCTTTGAGGGGAAGAAAAGACCAGTGGCTGGGGCAGATTTTAGGTAGCAGAGGACCCTTAAAACAGCTTTGTAGTGCGTCACAGTAGGATTAGTCATGAATTGACTCAGTTGTTTTGTTGCAAAACTGATGTCTGGTCTTGTTGTTGTAAGGTAGATCAGCTTGCCAACTAATGTTCTGTAGTGTTCAGGGTCTTCATAGGGAGTATCAACCTCATTGCTCAGATTCAATTTGTAATCCATAGGTGTAGAAACAGACTTGGATTCAATAACATTTGCCTCTTCCAAGATTTCCAAAGTGTATTTCCTTTGAGAAAGATGAATGCCTGTTTTGTTTCTTGCCACTTCAATACCAAGGAAGAACCTTAAATCACCAAGGTCTTTGATAGTAAACTCTGTATGCAAGACCTGTTTTAATGCTTGAATCTCCTTAAGATCATTACCTCCCAGAACGAGGTCATCAACATATATGAGAATACAGGTGTATGTAGAATCTGTGACTTTGAAGAACAGAGAATGATCTGCTTTGCTTTGAACATATCCAACCTGTTGTAACTTGTCTGTAAGTTTAGAAAACCACTATCTGGAAGCTTGTTTAAGGCCATATAAGGATTTCCTTAGTCGGCAGACAGGATTGGGAATGCATGGAGGGGGAGTGAAACCTTGTGGGAGAGTCATATAGACTTCCTCTTCAAGGTCACCATTGAGGAAGACTTGTTTACATCCAATTGATGTATGTGCCAGTTCCTCAATGCAACAATGGCCATGAATGTTCTCACTGTGGTCATCTTGATGACAGGAGCAAAGGTATCTTGAAAATCAATTCCTTCTTGTTGAGTGTTACCTTTTGCTACTAACCTTGCTTTATGTCTTTCTAGAGAGCCATCAGAAAGGAACTTGTCCTTGTAAATCCATTTGTTGCCAACTGGTTTCTTGCCTGGTGGAAGGGAAACTACATCCCAGGTATGATTTCTGACAAGAGCTTTAATTTCATGTTGCATTGCTTGATTCCAGACATCAAGCTTGGATGCTTGTTTATAAGTCTGAGGTTCTTGATGGCTTGAAATGCTGAGAAAGAACTTTTTGTATGGAGTAGAAAGATTATGATAGGAGATGATGGAAGAAAGAGAATACCTGTTGTCTTTGACCTGTGGCAGATTTGAATGATTGGTGCTGCTAGGACCTTGAGACAAGAAACAGTGGTAATTTTTGACAAGATGAGAAGGAGGTTTAGAAGTTCTCTCAGAGCGTCTAGGAGCAGGAGGTGGTGGGGGAGGTGAAGGAATTGAAGAGGGTGAGGGTGTAGGAGAATGTGTTGTGGAGGGAGAGGAATGGTTTAGAGGTGAGGCTGGAGAATCAGGTTGGTTGATGGGGGATTCTACAAGGGTGTGAACTGTGGTTTCAGGTGGCAAGGAGGGTGGACTGTCATGAAAAAGATGGGAGTTTGGGGAAGGAGGTGGAAATAGGAAATCTAGTTCAGAAGAAGAGGTTTCACTGTCAGAGTCTGTTTGGTAAGGAAAATGGGATTCATAAAATATAACATCTCTGGAGGTAAAGGTCTCATGTGTGAAGAGGTCATAAAGTCTGTAACCCTTAATCCCAGGAGAGTAACCAATGAAGATGCATTTCCTAGCTCTTGGTTGAAATTTGGTTCTGTGGTTGGCCAAGGTACTGGCATAGCAAAGACAACCAAAAACTCTTAACTCAGAAAGGTCAGGGGTTTTGTGGTGAAGGACTTGGAATGGGGTCTGGTTGGATAGAACAGGTGTAGGGACTCTGTTGATTAGGTGAACTGCATGTTTTATACAGTCTCCCCAGAAAGCTGGTGGTAAGTTTGCTTGAAATTGTAGGGCTCTAGCAACAGCAAGAATGTGTTAATGTTTTCTTTCAACCTTGCTGTTCTGTTGAGGGGTTTCAACACAGGACATCTCGTGAAGGATGCCTGTAGAGGAGAAGAATTCATCCATTTGGAATTCTTTGCCATGATCACTTCTTATGGTTTTAATGGTGGTTTGAAAATGTCTTTGCATTTGGGT